CATGCACAGTACAATATACATAGGCTATAGGTACACTTTCACAAGATCAGGTATGCAGGCAGGAGGGCATACTTTGCTAAAAAAGCCCCGCCTTATGAGGCCGCACTGATGGGCACTGATAGGGAGCACTGATGGGCACTAATAAGGTGGCACAGATAGGCAGCACTGATAGACGGCACTGACTGGTGGCACTGCTGGGCAGCACTGATGGGTGGCACCACTGGCTTATGTTTGTCTGTTCAAATAGGTTGAAAAAGTCCACAATTTCCATGGGATGTACTTACTTATTCACACACCTGTATATCTTTGTTACACTACTTAGGGAGTCCAACTCTGATATGTTATCAGCATAAGTAATAAAAGGTAAAAAAACATTGATACTGCGTTGTATCAAGTTTTTCTAATTCTATTATGAATACTGATTATAGATTGATCAGCTGTATTTGTTAGCTATTATTAATGTCATATGAGACTACATAGCCACACTTCAGCCAATAAGCAGACAGTGCAAGTACATCAGCTACAATGAATAGAGAATAAATATTTTATGATATTTGCATACAAAGAGCAGAAGGCCATTTTACCTTCCATACTATTAGATGGTCTCTCTATGCCACAAAAGTAAACATCTGCTACAAATAAGAGTTGTGCAGCCTTTCACCCCTTTATCTTGCCCGAGTTACTGCATATCAGTATAGCTAAAAAAAAAACTGACGAAAATAACTATAACTGTTAGGAAAGGCAATAATACAACTTTGGAAACTTTACTTAGAATAGCATTAGCAAAATCATATTCTTCTAATGGTAACATAATAGATTATCAGTAGTTTTCATCTTCTACCTACAGAGGTTGTGTAAAAATATCCAACCGTTTTAATGTCCAGTAGCACACACACACATAGCTACTGAGGCGCCTGTTCAATATTTGCATGAACGTATTTAAAATACCAAATTTACACTACACGTATCTGACTGTCAATCAGTGTACACAGCCATGTGAAACATAAAGATACATCAAACAGAAGCACAACAAATGTGTGGAATAAATCCAACATTTTACATATACAGACCACCATAAATAGCTATGTTGTGTATGTCTTACAGACAAAGCATAAATCAAAGCTGTATTTTAGTTGCAGGAAGCACCTTGTGTATGATATGCTGAAACAATGTGTGTCTGGCAGGTGGACAAATGATCTACTACTTTAACTTTCACACAGTATACCCACACATGCACACTCTGAAATACCGTGTTTGTTTAGTTAAGGCTTTTACTCTAGACCACATAACGACATTGCCTGCTAATTGTAATGTCTATGATATCCAAACAAATGTTAGATTAAGTACAGTTCCACACAGAACTTAACCGCTTGCTTGCCATAAATATATGTGATTTGCATTTCCGGGTAGGGGGTGTGCGCTTCGCCCTACCCGCGCTGCTACCATCGGTGGCTAGGGATGTCAATCACCTGGTCCCGGCCAGCAATTCCCAGCCGACACTCAGCGATCCCCGTGTAAAGCTGACAAGGGAGAGATCTGTGTGTAAACAAAACAGGTCTCTCCTGTCAGCATGGACATGCTGTTTTATATCTCTCTGCACAGTAGAGATACAAAACAGCATGCATCCCTTGTAAAACAGCACATATAGTAACACACACAGCACACAGTTAACCGTTTGATTGCAGAGGTGATCAAATAGCACTGAAAGAAAGCTCTATTTGTGGGAAAAAAGGACATACATTTCATTTATATACAGCATTGCAATATGGCGCAATTGTCAGTTAAAGTAACACAGCGCCATATGGCAAAAATTGCCTGGTTAGAAAGGGGGGTAAATCCTCTGGAGGGCAAGAGAAGGCCATTTTGCATAACTAAATAGTTCACCAAGTGCTAAAAAATACCATGTGAAAATGCTTGGAATGATGCATTGCTATCATTGTTTAAACATTACAAAGAACATAACAGCATATGTAAAAAGGAAATCAAGGCAGCACAGTGGCTAAATGGTTAGCACTTCCACCTGGCAGTACTAGGGTCGTTGGTTCGAATCCCAGCCACGGCACCACATGCCTGGAGTTTGCATGTTTTCCCTGTGCCTGTGTAGGTTTACTCCGGGTACTCCGGTTTCCTCCCACACTCCAAAGACATGCTGGTAGGTTAATTGGATCCAGTCTAAATTGTCCCTAGTATGTGTATGCATGAATGTAAGTTAGGGACCTTAGATTGTACACCCCTTGAGGGTTAGGGACTGATGTGAATGTATAATATATATATATATATATATATATATATATATATATATATATATATATGTGTGTGTAAAGCGCTGCGTAAATTGACGGCGCTATATAAGTAGCTGAAATAAATAAATAAGGCTGCAAAAATTTAAAACGAATGACAGATTGCAAAAGATAGCAGGATTAACCCCCAAAAATTCTTCAAATATATTAATAGTAAAAAGGTCTGGTCTGAGCATGTAGGCTCTTTACAAAATAATCAAGAGTGGATGACTGGGGACAAAGAGAAGGCAAATTTATTTAATACCTTCTTCAGCTCTGTGTATACAAAGGAGCATGGGGGAGCTCTTGTCCATAACGGGCATGGTATTGACACAGCTCCAAATGATCCATATTGGCTCACAGCTGATATGATCCAGAAATATTTAGACAGAATAAAAGTGAATAAAGCACCTGGACTGGATGGCATACACCCACGGGTCCTTAAAGAATTGAGCTCTGTCATTTCAAAGCCATTATTTCTATTTCTATTTTTTAGGGACTCTAATGACTGGGATTGTACCACTGGATTAGATTAAGGCCAATATGGTGCCAATATTTAAAAAGGGATCAAAATATTTACCAAGTAATTATAGACCTGTTAGTTTAATTTCTATAGTTGGGAAGATACTGAAGAGTTTAATAAAAGACCACATAGATGAGTTCTTGCTGGAAAAAATATTTTAAGCAACAGCATGGATTCATGAAAGACAGAAGTTGTCAAACAAATCTGATTTCTTTTTATGAGGGGGTGAGCAAAACCTTGGACAGAGGGGAGGCAGTGGATGTGGTATACTTGCATTTTGCAAAAGCGTTTGACACAGTTCCCAACACACAGCTAATGTGTAAGGTAAAGTCTACAGGCTTGGGAAAATCTGTATGTAAATGAATAAAAAACTGGCTAAAAGATCTTACTCAGAGAGTAGTGGTTAATGATTCATTCTCTGAATGGTCTACGGTTGTCAGTGGTGTACCCCAAGGTTCAGTGTTGGGACCCTTACTTTTTTAATATATTTATAAATGATATAGGGTCTGGGATTATAAATACCATTTCAGTCTTTGCAGATGACAACAAGCTGTGCAGTGGAATAATGTCCTTACAGGATGTCTCTACTTACAAGCCGACCTCAATGCACTGTTTAATTGGGCAACTGTGTGGCAAATGAAGTTTAATATTAATAAATGTAAGGTTATGCACTTGGGGGGCTAAGAATATGCATGCATCATACATACTCGGGGGAGTACAACTGAGGGAATCAATGGTAGAGAAGGATCTGGGAGTTCTGGTAGATCACAAGCTTAATAATGTCATTCAGTGCCAAGCTGCAGTTTCTAAAGCGAGCAAAATCCTCTCTTGTATTAGAAGAGGTATAGACTCCAGAGAGAGATATCATATTACCCCTGTACAAATCATTAGTAAGACCTCATCTGGAATACGCAGTTCAGTTTTGGGCACCAATTCACAAAAAGAACATTGGGGAACTGGATAAAGTACAGAGAAGGGCAACCAAACTGATAAGAGGCATGAAGGAGATCAGCTATGAGGAAAGATTAGAGGAACTGAATTTATTCTCTCTTCAGAAGTGGAGATTAAGGGGAGATATGATCAACATGTATAAATGCATCAGTGGTTCGTATAGTGAACTCGGTGTAGAGTTATTCACCCTTAGGTCATCACAGAGGACAAGGGGACACTCTTTACGTCTGGAGGAAAAGAGATTTAATCTCTAAATACGGAAAGGTTTCTTCACAGTAAAAGCTGTGAAAATGTGGAATAGACTCCCTCAAGAGTTGGTTCTGGCCAGCTCAGTGGATGGCTTTAAAAAAGGCCTGGATTCTTTCCTAGATGCACATAATATAACTGGATACTAACATTTATAGGTAAAGTTGATCCAGGAAATATACGATTGCCTCTTGCAGGATCAGGAAGGATTTTTTTCCCTTGCAGGAACAAATTAGCTCATGCTTTGCTGGTTTTTTTTTTTGCCTTCCTCTGGATCAACTGTGCGTACAGGATTATAAATTTTTTTTTTTTAAATGGTTGAATTAGATGGACTTTTATCTTTTTTTCAGCCAGACTAACTATGTAACTATATACATATACACACTGTAGGCCATGCCAATGCAACAGAAATAGGAATAAATTGATATCATAACATCGGAACTGTATCTGATTTCAGAATATCAAAACTGTATATCCTCACTGCATGTAACAGAAATAGAAGCAACAACTATAAACTTGTTATTACTTTAATTTAAGGAAGGAAATAATCAAACCAGGCCACATGGCTTATTTATTGTATAAGCTAGCCAAACCTGAAAGTCCAACTTTCAGATTAAAAGCTAAAATGAGAAAACTACTGAACATAAAACATTTGTCTTGATAACTACCAACCTGAAAGGTCCAAAGTCTGCTAGGAATCAAACTAGGCATTTGTGTTTTAACATATTGAAAACAGATCTGATCAAATATTTTAAATGCAAAAAACACAAACTGATAACAGTAGTCGATGTCTGAAACAGACTTCCAGCAAAGGTAATGAGCTGGTCAACAGTAAGTGAACATAAACATGCTTAGGATAAACATAGGCATACTCGGAAATAAAGTTTAAAAAAAAATGAAAATGAAGCAGAACATAACATTACGTTCCTTGTAAACACTCTCATAAGTCATTTTAAATAGAATACAAAAAGAGAAATGATAAAAGGGATATTTTAACCTACCCTGATTTCTTAATGTATATCCAGTAGGCTAATCCAGCAACCAGTGCAGCGAGTAGAAGACCAACAACAATTCCCACAATTAGTTTTGCATGGTCATTATTGTCACCTAGGAATGTGGTTTTCAGGGGGGGGAAAAAAAAAAACCTCTTGATTAGTTTGCATTCAGTTGCAGCTATTATCAAGATCAATGTGTTGAAAAATATACAAAGTGTACAAAGACAAATTCAGACCATTAAATAGAGCACTATTGAAATCATCCACTGAAAAACATGAGATACAGGGGTGACTTTAACACAAGCTCTCAATCATTGTGTCATTCATATCAAGTTTTCACAGACATACTACCAGTATTTTTTTCCCACACACCATTATCTATTTAGTATGCACAGGATTATAGTGTATTCCATGGTAGCATTTACCAAACTAAATTCTTACCACCTTTCCAAACAGAAGATTTCAGACTATTTAAGATACCTTATTTTGAGGTAGGAGAACAAGAAGTTAGGAATTAAAGTGCAGCAGAAAGATAGTCCCCTATATGAAACTTTTGCTGTGCAAAAGTATGAAGATATTAAGAAAAGCACACGACAGAAAGAAACTAAGGGGACCTTTTAGATGTTACGGTTGACATACCACATATACACAGAAAAAAAGATTTTCTAAAATGTTTTTTTTTTTTTTTTTTTAGACAAAAACATAAAAAAGTCCCCTCAAACAAGAAAGGAGCAGTTCCCAAAATGTTTTGGGACCAGCTCCTTCCTTGTTTGATGGGCCTTTGTGGTGCTTGCTGAATGTTATCAATGCACTACCATTGATCTCCACTTCAAATGTAACCCTTTAATGCAATGGCAGAAATCATTCTTGTGTAACTTGCGAACTGACACTGAAACACAAAGATGTGAATGATCTTATATAAGAGAAGTCCTTTGCCAATGGATATTTCTGAGCATATATAAACCAATTCCAGTAGCGTGGTGCATCGCCCTGCTTTCTCCCTTTGAGTGGAAACAGGACTGGTTGACTCACCTGGGTTTATACATGTTCAAACACTATGTATATAGTAAACACAGTATATATATACTGTGTATGTGTGCTCCACAGTTCCACAGATCTGGGAAATATGTCAAATTCCCCCCATGAACCATCACTAGAATCAGCCTCTGACGAAATGAAAGAACTCATATGTATCTATACAGCCCTGGCCAAAAGTTTTGAGAATGACACAAATATTAATTTTCACAAAGTCTGCTGCCTCAGTTTTTATGATGGCAATTTGAATATACACCAGAATGTTATGAAGAGTGATCACATGAATGGCAATTAATTGTGAAGTCCCACTTTGCCATGAAATTGAACTTAAACCCCCAAAAAAACATTTCCACTGCATTTTAGCCCTGCCACAAAACGACCAGCTGACATCACGTCAGTGTTTCTCTCCTTAACACAGGTGTCAGTGTTGACAAGAACAAGGCTGGAGGTCAGTCTGTCATGCGTTAGAATAATAGACTGAAAGCTTTAAAAGGAGGGTGGTGCTTGAAATCATTGTTCTTCCTCTGTTAACCATGGTTATCTGCAAGGAATCATGTGCAGTCATCATTGCTTTGCACAAAAAGGGATTCATAGGCAAGAATATTGCTGCTACTAAGAGTGCACCTAAATCAACCATTTATCACATCAAGGACTTCAAGGAGAGAGGTTCAATTACTGTGAAGAAGGCTTTAGGGCACCCAAGAAAGTCCAGCAAGCACCAGGACTGTCTAATATAGTTGATTTAGCTGCAGGATCGGGGCACAACAAGTGCAGAGCTTACTCAGGAATGGCAGCAGGCAGGTGTGAGTGCATCTGCATGCACACTGAGGTGAAGACTTTTGGAGGATTGCCTGGTGTCAAGATGGGCAGCAAAGAAGCCACTTCTCTCCAGGAAAAACATCAGGGACAGACTGATATTTTGCAAAAGGTACACGGATTGGACTGCTGAGGACTGGGGTAAAATCATTTTCTCCAATGAATCCCCTTTCCGTTTGTTTGGGGCATCCTGCAAAAACGTTGTCCAGAGAAAAAAAGGTGAGTGCTACCATCAATCCTGTGTCATGCCAACAGGAAAGCATCCTGAGACCATTCATGTGTGGGGTTGCTTCTCAGCCAAGGGAGTGGGATCACTCATAAATTTGCCTAAGAATAAAGCCATGAATAAAGAATGGTACAAAAACATCCTCCATCTCCCAACCATCCAAGAACAGTTTGGTGATGCAATGCATTTTCCAGCATGATGGAGCACTGTGCCATAAGGCAAAAGTGATAAATAAGTGGCGTTGAGGAACAAAACATCAAAATATTGGGTCCATGACCAGAAAACTCCCCAGATTTTAATTCCCTTGAGAACTTGTGGTCAATCCTCAAAAAGCTGGTGAAAAAAACACCCCACACATTCTGACAAACTCCAAGCATTGATTATACAAGAGCGGGTTGCCATCAGTCAAGATGTGGCCCAGAAGTTGATTGACAGCATGCCAGGGCGAGCTGCAGAAGGGTCAACACTGCAAATATTGACCGTCTGTATAAACTTAATGTAATTGTCAATAAAAGCCTTTGACACTTATGAAATGTTTGTAATTATACTTCACCTTAGTAACATCTGATAAAAAGATCTAAAAACACTGAAGCAGCAGACTTTGTGAAAATAATATTTGTGTCATTCTCCAAACTTGGTCACTGCTGTATATAAGGTGTGACAATTTAATTCCCAGAATTAGAAAAATCTGCATTCTTCAAAAGATCAAATGACATTTTAAGAGAACATTCTTTCTGATCTTCTGTCAAGATTCAAGACACCATCGTTGTGGACATCTTTCTCATTCCCAAATCCTCTGTTATAATCTTCTGCACTGTTTCACTAGGGTTTGCAATCTGTCCACACTTGCATGTGTCTTTTTGCATCTTTGACTGCCCACTTCTTGTGTCATTGTGGACATGTTTCTGCTCTTCCTTAAACTGCCTATGCCATTAAAAAATACTTGATTTCTTGAGAGAATGTTCACCAAAACCCCTTTTTATCAGAGCTAAAGTTTCACTCGCACGTTTGCCAATTTTCACACAAAATTTGATGTTAATTAGCTGCTCCAGATTCCTGTCACTCATTTTCTGCCAACAATGCAATGCGAGTGCAAGTTAGAACATGTCAGAATATGATCGAGTGTGAATGGCCATGTGATTCACTACGATGCTGCGATGCAGCGGGCATTCAGGGAATTGAATTGTAACACCTTGTTTATGGACAACACTGAACAGGTGGGATATAGTGGGTATTTTCCTCTGTAGGACCCTTTGTAAGTACAAACAGTGTATCAAATTACAGTGAGGAACAGAAGTATTTGAACACCCTGCGATTTTGCAAGTTCTCCCACTTAGAAATCATGGAGGGGTCTGAAATTCACATTGTAGGTGCATTCCAACTCTGAGAGACAGAATTTAAAAACAAAATTCAGGAAATCGCATTGTATGATTTTTAAAGAATTTATTTGTCTTGCACTGCTGAACATAAGTATTTGAACACCTAAGAAACCGCAAGAATTCTGGCTCTCAACGACCTGTTACTGTGCCTTTAAAAAGTCCACCTCTACTCCACTCATTAATGTAACTTAGTAGCACCTGTCTGAGCTCTTTAAAGACATCTGTCCACCCCACAATCAGTCAGAGGCCATCTACTACCATGGGCAAGACCAAAGAGCTGTCAAAAGACACCAGAGACAAAATTGTGGACCTCCACAAGGCTGGAAAGGGCTACACGGCAATTGCCAAGTAGCTTGGTGAAAATAGATCAACTGTTGGAGCAATTGTTAGAAAATGGAAGAGGCTAAAGACGACTGTCAGTCTCCCTTGGACTGGGGCTCCATGCAAGATCTGACCTCGTGGGTTATCACTGATGATAAGAAAGGTGAGGAATCAGCCCAGAAAGAAGGGAGGAGCTGGTCAATGACATGAAGAGAGCTGCGACCACAGTTTCAAAGGTCACTGTCGGTAGAACACTACGCCGTCATGGATACAAATCATGCATTGCACAGAAGGTTCCCCTGCTCAAGTCATCACATGTCCAGGCCCGTCTGAAGTTTGCCAATGACCATCTGGATGATCCAGAGGAGGCATGGGAGAAAGTCATGTGGTCAGATGAGACCAAAGTAGAACTTTTTGGTCTAAAATTCACTCGTTGTGTTTGGAGGAAAAAGGATGAGTTGCATCCCAAGAACACCATCCTACTGTGAAGCATGGGGGTGGTAACATCATGCTTTGGGGGTGCTTTTCTGCGAAGGGGACAGGACGACTGCACTGTATTAAGAAGAGGATGAATGGGGCCATTTATTGTGAGATTTTGAGCAACAACCTCCTTCCCTCAGTCAGAGCATTGAAGATGGGTTGTGGTGGGGGCTTCCAACATGACAACGACCCGAAGCACACAGCCAGGATAACCAAGGAGTGGCTCAGTAAGAAGCATATCAAGGTTCTGGAGTGGCCGAGCCAGTCTCCAGACCTAAATCCAATAGAACATCTTTGGAGGGAGCTGAAACTCCGTGTTGCTCAGCGACAGCCCCAAAACCTGACAGATCTAGAGGAGATCTGTGTGGAGGAGTGGGCCAAAATCCCTGTTGTAGTGTGTGCAAACCTGGTCAAGAACTACAGGAAACGTTTGACCTCTGTAATTGCAAACAAAGGCTTCTGTAACAAATATTAACACTGATTTTCTCAGGTGTTCAAATACTTATGTTCAGCAGTGCAAGACAAATAAATTCTTTAAGGCTACGTTCACACTAGCGTTGTGTGCAGGCGGCAGAGAGGCGTTTGGGAAGCGTTTTTACCGCTTCCCAAACGCCTCTGCCAATTCTGCACATTACAGCACATGGTGCTGTTCTAACGGGAGCGTTTGCGTTGCAGAAAAACGGTCGAGTCAGGAGTCATTGAAGCCTCCTATTCTAGTCTATGATGCCGCTTCGCAAACGCCTGGCCGGCGGTTGCGACGCGGTTGCGGAGCGGGTAACACCATTCAAACTGCACTACAGGCATTTGTGGGGCGTTTTTAACGCTCGGCAAACGCCTAGCAACCGCCGCTAAAACTGCGCATGCAGTGTTTGCGGAGCGTTAAAAAACGCTCCGCAAATGCCGAACCAACGCTTGCCAAACGCTATAGGGGCGTTTGGCAAGCGTTGGTAAAACAGCCAAGTGTGAACGAGCCCTAAAAATCGTACAATGTGATTTCCTGAATTTTTTTTTTTTAAATTCTGTCTCTCAGAGTGGAAATGCACCTACAATGTGAATTTCAGACCCCTCCATGATTTCAGGTGTTCAAATACTTCTGTTCCTCACTGTATATTATTGGTGGAAAAATATAAAGCCCTTGTTTTTACTATGGTTGCAATTATTTGTATAATGAAAAGGACATTTTCGGACAATCATTTCTGTGTATTTGTGGTATATCTACTGTAGCACCTGAAATGTCTCAGCAGTTTCTTTCTTTCAATAGTGTTATATATAATTAGCGCTGTGGTGCAGTGACAGTCTGCCAGTTTGAAAGCATAACTAACTGTAGGATATTAAGAAAAGGTATATTAGGAATTGGGAAACTACAGAGGCTGAGAAGAGAAGACCTTACTCTACTACTCTACTTACCACTGCTATCAATACGATCATCTGATTCTGGGAAGCTGACTGAAATGAAAAATTGAGAGGTGAAATTAAAAAACTATTGCTGATAACCTAAGAAAGTCACCTTCACCACCATAATGTGCTTTAATCTGTAACAGTAAAATGACTTATCCCTTGGTGCAAGTAAAAGGAGAAAATGTTTCACTTTTTCACTCATCTAATATGCAACTGACTCAGTAAAGATTCTTTACAGGGTCCTCCTCTATATATGATGACAAGGTTAATACAGACAAAGGAGAACTGCACAGCATTAATTCCCAGTTCACAGCTAACACCACAGAAATGTTTTAAATCAGACTGATTAGTCAAGATCTTGATACCTAATAATGGATCTTCAACCATAATAATCATGCATGTTCAGAGGCCTAGTGACTCTTTCTGCAGCAATTTAGTTCTAATCAAAGCTGCCATACTAAATTTTGCTCCATGCTTCCATCCATACGCACCATGCTACACAACATATATCAGACTATGGTATAATGGAAAATACCTCTTAAAAAGAATCCCAGCTAATGCCACATTAAATATAGTTTAAAATATACTATATTGCTAAATTTAAATACACTATTCTATCTATATAATGCAATACCTACACTAAAATTATCCTAAATCTGAGCTATAAGGAGAAAGAGGATGAATTACACACCAGGAACTAATTTATTATTGTTATCTATAGTTTTAGGCCAGACCCTAATCCAGTTTTGTCAGCACTGTACCATATAAAATGCATTACTGCCAGGATTAGATTTTGTAAAGATATAAAACTAATTTTTGCCTCCTAACTCACTGAGTAATGGTCTATAAGAAATCCCTGAACAGCAACAAGCCTAAAAGCAGGGGAAATTAGCTACTGATGCCCTATGGTTTGTCTTAGCAAAGCTACTTGCAAATCTGCAGGACAAGCAAAATGCCAGCCACTAAGGGTGGCTCACTTGAGGCGAATGTAAGCATGAAAACCTGAATCTTGCAGAAACTGGTATCATTAATTTTACAGTACACAGTGAAACACCGATCGTCGGGCGGGACCTCTGTACGAGCTCCTGATCATGTGATCACTGCAAAGTAGTAAGCAAGATGTCACTTGTGACATCATTGCTTACTACGTGTGAAATCTGTGAATGATCACAGAGGTCACATGGTACAAGGCTATTCACAACAGCCTTGTACCATGTGACAAGCTGTGACCAATCACAGCTCACTCAGTAGTTCTCAATGGCTGCAAGAATGCAGACAGAGAGAAAGAGAAATGATTGCTTTTACATCCTATATGTGTAAAAGCAGTCACTGTAAAAAAAAAAAAATCTTCATCACCCCCCACAGGTAGTACAGTGTCAGAGTGACTAGGGTGCTAGGGTGCCAGTATTTAAAAAAAAAAAAAAAAAATAAAAAATAAAAAAAATAATAAAAATGTAAAAAAAAAAAAGTTTAAAAATTATAATTTTCGGTTATAAACTAATGTGCTTATTTTTTTTTTTACTAAAAAGATAACGGAATACATTTCGGCAAAGATTTATGATGAAAGATTATTTATTTGCAAACTTTTATAAGAAAAACACTTTTTTTTCAAAATTTTTGGACATTTTCATTTACATAGCAAAAAAAATTAAAATTCCAGTGGTGAATAAATACCACCAAAATAAAGCTTTATCTGTCTCAAAAAAATGGTAAAACATTTATATGGGTACAGTGTTGCATGACCGCGTAATTGTCATTCAAAGTGAGATAACGCTGAAAGCTGAAAATTGCCCTGGACAGGAAGGGGGTAAAAGTGTCCGGACAGGAAGTGGTTAAGAGGCCCAGAGTGGGACTGGGTGAATCTCTAGGTAAAGTAGAAATGCCATTTAAGTGCATGTGGTAACATTTACATGATGGAAATAAACATTTGGCAGAAAGAATTATGAATGAATACATTGATTGGCACACTGACAAACATGAAATGAGGACAAGAATTACACATCAAGGCCTATTCACTACTTACTAGCAGAAACATTTAATGAATGGACCTCCCGCCCCAATTTGTTTTCAGCACTGCAGATAATAGTGACATTCTCTTCTGGGGAAATTATAATTTTAGCAGAATATTTTCCGTTACTTAACGTAGTTTCTTCAGTCTGTAATGAAAGAAATACAGTAAAGTCACTTTCTCTGCAAATGGTTCACAATTCATTAAATACAGTGACAGATAAAATCTCATAAAAGCTGTTGCATGTGGGAATCTTGGTCATTCCATCAGTGCAGTAACTATAACTTGTGTTACATTCACACTGCAGTTTTCACTTCCCAATAAACATAATAGAGGATAAGCCAATTACAGTAATTTAAGGCCATTGCAGTATTTATATGGGACCTATATAAAGGAAATTTGAAAGGGGTCACTCGTGATTCTAACCTTTGTTTTACATTACATTTTTTAATGGAGCAGAAAATTCAACTGACATGCAATTAGCTTAAAAATACTACATTCATAACAGGAGTTTACTTCCTTTCCAATGGGTAGTAAAATACTCAAGACATTCTTTATTGTACACAAAGGCTGTCAGGCCTTCATTTACACATGGGTATATGGCACACTAAAAGATTTATTCATTTGCTTTAATTCAGAAATACAATGTATTAACCGCTTGCCGACTGCCCTATAGCAGAAATACTGCTACAGGGCGGCGGCGGTGTGCAAAATCACGTGTATATATACATGATTTCGCATCTCTGGGTAGGGGGCACGCACGTGCCCTACTTGTGCCACCATTCGTGGCCGCTGCTGTCATTCAGCAGCGGCCCTGGTCGGGCCCTGGTCGGTAATTACTTGCTGGCGCCTGGTGATTCCAAAGATCTCAGACGGGGAGGAGGACTGTTTTGTTTACCAACAATCTTCCTCCCTGTCAGCTTGGCACACTGCTGTGGATGGCGACCTATCACACAAAGAGAAAAAAGCCTGAGGGAGCGAGGAAAAGGTTAATATTTGTACTTATTCTTCCCCTTCAGAGACATTATGTGAGCATTTAACCCATGTAGTGTTGCAGAGACCCACTGCATGGATACATTTAATAGAAGGGTAGAGTTGTGCTTTAGAAGTGCTGCCTTTTGTGGAAATAACAGCAAGCTTTTATTTATCAGATCTGTACACAGAAATGTGCATTGAATGCCAGGACCACTCTGACAAAGCTACTAATAAACAGGACGACAAAGCAGCATTAACATCTACTTCATTATGCTTGACAGATGTTAATCAAAAGTCTTTAAGTTGAAATGAAAATGCAAAAATTTGTATGTATACTATAAAACACTTACTTTGTTCAAGTATAAATCATTGCCTAATCTGACACATTGCACTTCAGGCTTTGGAAAGCCATCTACCTCATATAGGATTGTTTTTGACTTTCCATCAGCATTTGTCTTTTTTGAGAGTTTAATCCGTGGTTTTCCTTCAAGGGGTAAAAACAAATTATGCATTAACAGAAAAATACATTCACTGAGGAAATCAATTAACTACACATACATATAAAATATTGCATATATACAGTATATATACTGGTGACCATATGTGCCTTGATAAGGCAGTGCATTTTAGCAATATTACCAACCTTCTACAGTAAGTCTTAGTGTCTTTTTTCTTCTCAGACCGTCAACTTCCATAAGGCTGGTCTCACATTCATAAATACCTGAATCTCTGTATTGTAGATTTGAAAATGATGGCTGTGCAAGGATTTTTTGGTTCTGAAAAAAAACCCAAAAATGCCACTTTAGCTCTAGTTTACAAAACCTAGGTTATGTTAGGCTGAAAAAACAACAACAGATAAATGAATAAAATATTGCGCTTATGGACAGAATCTTAGTGCAAATAAACCATATTTAAGGAGCAGTCCTTTGTGAACCAATAAACACAAAAAACAAACAAATGCCATATGAACCGCGCATACACTAAACTTAGTGCAATAAAATATATATATACTTGTGATAATTACTACACATGTAATAAATTGATAATATTATTCAGTCCCAGTTTATGAGAATAAAGTGCCCAAGTGCTGAATGCTTAATTGTGAACTTGTGTTAAAAAAATGACAGGTGCTCCACTGTACTCAAAACGGTGCCCCACATGGATGTGCACTCACCATTATCCCTTGACCACCTATGTCTAGGATGGTCTCATGCGCTTTATATGGGACTATCCCAGAGTGCTGTGTTGTAATAGTAACAATAATCCTCCCCGGGGGGGGCGGGGATACAGTATTGCTGGTGGTAACCTATGTTCTATAACAGAATAATGGTAACAGTGTAACTCCACAAGGGCTGTGTCAGAATTCCTCCTCTCCTCCACAGGCAGTAAAGCAAGTATCAGCATGAAAACAGGGACAAAAGCAGACATCTCAAAGTGTGAAACCATAAAAACTTTTAATATAGGGGAGAAAGTATAAAGATACAACTCACAAGCAAAGTGCCCATAACCTGGCACTCAGTGTATTCAGCCTTGTTGCTTGTGAATGGAAACGAAAATGGCTGCCGCGTTCCAGTATGCATTCGAAAGGGCGGAAGTGTCATCAAACCTCGACATGTTTCGACCAATAGATTGGCACCAGGAAGTGCCATGATGACGATGTATTGGTCGAAACACGGTTGATGATGTAACTTCCGCTGACGTCAGTTCCGCCCTTTGGAATGCACGCTGGACCGCGATGGCCATCTTGGTTTCCTGTTTTGTCTCTGTTTTCATGTTGATACTTGCTTTACTGCCAGTGGAGGAGAGGAGAAATTCTGACACAGCCCTTGTGGAGTTACACTGTTACCATTAGCAACGCTGTTTAAAATCCTGTCATAGAACATTGGTTACCACCAGCAACACTGCATACCCCCTTCCCCACACCCCCCGGGAAGGATTATTGTTACCATTACTACACAGCACTCTGGGATAGTCCCAAATAAAGCGCATGAGACCGTCCTAGAGATGGGTGGTGCACATCCACGTGGGGCACCGTTTTGAGCACAGTGGAGCACCTGTAATTTTTTAATGAAGTTCAAAATTAAACATTCAGCACTTTATTGTCATGAACTGGGACTGAATAATATTATCAATTTATCACATGTGTAAAAACAGACTAAAATGAAAACAATAATGGACAATACACCCTTCCCTTTACTAGAGCTACATAAACGCTAGTTGTATCTGTAAAACTAGATGTCCAGAGCACCTCCTCCTCCCTTGCCTTGTGTTGGTGCCGGGAAGATGTGGGTAGAGCTGGGAAGCAGAGAGTGCAGGGTCTGGAGGGGGACCACAGGAGAGCTGGACTCAGCTGAATGCTGAGACCAGGGGAGGCGGAGACAAGGGGGTGCTGCAGCTACACAGAAAGTAGCAGGATCTGTAGTTCTGTCCTCCTCTCTGCTGGAGACTGCTGAGATGGGAGAGCCTCTCCGCCTCTCCACGGCTGCATGGGAAAGCGCAGTATCTGACAGAGGAGTTCTGTTGCTAACTGCTGAGACAAGATGGGGGCAGAAACGAGGAGGAAGTTGCAGCTACGGGCCACATGAAATGACCTGGAGGGCCAGATACAGCCGCAGGCCTTGTGTTTGCAACATGTGACATAGACAGTGGCTTCTGATGAGCTCATCAGGAACATTTAGACCCTTTAAAGACCGAAGCAGGGGAGATGTGGGAGACAGAGGTCTAACTGCAATTTATTGGTTCCTTAACCATTGCATATAATTAGTGAAATTCTGTGAGGGATTTTGCAATTTCAGCCAATTTCCAATTTCAGCCATATACCTACCATTACCATATACCTAATTGTACTAGTTTAACTATACTTAATTTATAAGGATACTGGCTCTTGTATGAAAATGTCAAGTTTAAAAATGTAGACTTTACTGTGGAAAACAGTCCTAACACAAATATGATTGTGCAAAATTGCATTAAGAATGGTAAATGACCTGCACTAATTGCAAGATATCCAAATCCAGGAAGTATAACAGATCTGCAGTCTTGCAATGAGCTGCACTTCATTTACTTGAAGTGAAGTGAGAGTATGGGAGTACAACTTGCCAACATTACGAAGAGAAGGAAAAACCTCTCCAGTAATAGGAGTACCCATTTAAATCTTAATATGAGCCATTTTCTGTATTATCTTTACAGTCTTTGAAGTCTAATTACTGGATTGTAGACAGAATAAGGCTTCCAAATATTCAAGTTATGTACTTTTTGCTGAGAAAAAAAGTTCACATAATGAAGGCAGTACTAGGGTCATTGGTTTGAATCCAAACCATAGCACCACCTGCCTGGAGTTTTCATGTTTTCCCTGTGCCTGTGTGGGTTTACTCCAGGTACTCCGGTTTCCTCCCACACTCCAAAGGCATGCTGGTAGATTAGTTGGATCCTTTCTAAATTGGCCCTAGTATGTGTATGTACGAATGTAAGTAAGGGACCTTAGATTGTAAGCCCCTTGAGGGTTAGGGACTGATGTGAATGTACAATATATATATGTAAAGCACTGTGTAAATTGACAGAGCTATAAGAGTACCTGTAATAAATAAATAAATATAGCACTTTAACACAAATAGATCTTGTTTAAAGGCAAATTTGTCTTTATTATTTTATATAAATTTAACAAGCAGATCATAGCAAATATAAAAAACAAGTACAAATACAGAAACAAAAGAAAAACATCAGAGAGGTGGTTATAATCCATGTGGATAAATAAAGATAGTGCAATATAACAGTGGGAGGAAAGGATCAATAACCGATATTACAGAGGTAGAACATAACAGATTGCCAGGGGGGGGGCTATCCCAATAGATCTTGTTTAAAGCAGTGTTTCCTAAAGCCATGGGTATGTACCACTGGGATAATTTGCTTTCACTGTAAGTGGTTCTCAAAGGGGGAAAAATATATACAGAATTGCCTTATAGAAGATTATGCTCGTTGTATTGCCCATTATTTCCAGTAGCAAATAATGGAAGAGGCATCTCAGTTTAATATACAAACTGAAGTTGCTCCCATGAGCACGGGCTTGAGTAGACATTCAGAGATGATGCTGACCTGATAAAATACTTTACGATAGCTAACTCTAAGGAACTCCTAAGGAGTGGCAGGCTTAGAGTTAGCTAACAGAAATTCGTTTTCATCAATCTAACTACACTCTGATACTAAACCATTTTGGCTGACATGATGACAAAAAACTTTGCTACTTGCTTTATGTTTTATGTCAAAGGATTGCACACAGTTAAAAAAAAAAAACCAGAAAGAAAACCAAGCTTACCTTCATCCAAGTAACAGAAACATTTTTACTAGCAGAAGGAATGCATGAGACAGAAAGACTGTCTCCAACTTGTTTAATTATTTCTCCACTGGGTGTAAGTGACAAATCCAAATCTGAAACAGGAGAAAAAAATAGCAAAAATGTATTCAAAATTTTAAATATAAAGTTAAAACATAAAAAATTCAAAATGTAACAAGCAAATCAGCACTGATTAAAAATAACATGTTTTTATTTTTTACAACAAATCGCAAACAGTAAAAAGATCCAGAAATAAAGTATGGCAGCAACTTTAGCAGTCAACATATCAGAAGACCTACATCATACAATTTTCATACAAGAGATTAAAAATATACACATTTGTTCTGAATTCTGCTGCTAGTGGAGACATCTTTACTGTGAGCTTATTATAAGGGTATCTAAAAAAAGCAGACTGTCATTCTGAGGTGTGTTATGTCTTGGCTGACTGTCATGTTTATTAATGGAATGTATTTGGAAACAGTCATGGGAGTGGAATTACCCTGCCCTACATCTATATTCTTTGTAATTGATGTGCTTGCCATAAAAGGCTAGGTATATAAAAGGGCTGTCCGGTCTAATGCTCAGGGTTCCAGGTCACTGCCTTTCTTTGTGTCAATCACAAAAGACAGACTACATATTATACTGCATACATCTTCTAGTTGCCAAAGCTTTCTCATTCCTTCCTTAAAACTTATAGCAAATACAGACTCTGCTTTTTCAGTTATTTAACCTAGCTAATTAAGGCATGTTATATTTTCCTAAAATACAATATATCTGTGCTTAAAGTATAAGGCAAGTGATACCATGCACAACTCATGCTGCGCTCACCACTGGGTTTAGGTAGAGTAATTGTGAAAAGAAGTGTGCAGTATCCGAAAAAAACAGACTTTTTGTTGAATACAATCAAAATATCATTCCCCGCAGATTGGAAATCAAAAGGGTATATTTTATAACTACAAATTAAATAATTTTTTTTAAAATCTGTTGTTCTAAGAGATTATGTGTTTTTAGTATGCAGCAAACAAAATCTAAGCTGTGCAAATATTTTCCAACTACTACAATCATCATAATAGCATCTTCAGTACACAATGGAGTTGATTTACTAAAGGCAAATATACTGTGCACTGCAAGTGCACTTGGTCCAGGGCTTAGTAAATGAGGTAAAACTTTACTTTGCAAAGAACACGTATTCACATACAAGGAAAATAAATGGCATTTTTGCTTGTGCATGATTAGATGATAGAAATCAACATAACTTCTCCTCATTTCAGTGCATCCCCTCATCAGACCTAGAGCAACTACAATTGCAGTGCACTGTGTATTTGCTTTTAGTAAATAAACCTTCCTGATTGATATTCTAGATTAGACACTACAAGATGTCTAACAGATAGGGAATACCTCGCTAATACAAGCTGAAGATAGCATCAGTTATGGAGCATTAAATAATTTTTCATGTTCTAAAAGAGGTAAGCCTCAAGTATCTAGACAGTCCATGCTTCTTTCAAAAATTGAAAGAGAGCTTTTCATTGATACTTTACTTATTCTAAGCACAAATAAAGAATCTCTGCATTTTATCGGCTGAATGGAGTAAATTGAGTCCACATTGTGCAGTTAGTTTTTCCAACTAAGAAATCCTATACCTAACCCATGCATTTCTATTTCTTCTGTATGTCTTAATAAACAGGGTTCAGGATTTAGGGGGACTGATTTAAAAACATTTTTTTCTTTCAAAATCTATATAGTATTGAAAGCCTCCATGTATCAAGTCATCTGTTCCAATATCACATCTAATAATGAATCAGCATGTTAAAGCCTCTGTGAAGTTATGTACTAATGTAATTTATTATTGGAAGAAGGCCTAAGCATACCCTTTATACAGCCTGGATGATATATCTGTACTGTGTACATGCCTCTTCTTTCCATTTTTTTTTTTACCAACAGAGGATGCTTGACTGTTAATGGAGTTAATAAAACTATCTATAGGTCAGACTCCATTGATTGCTTCATGCACATACAGTTGTGTTCAAAATAATAGCAGTGTGTTGAAAAAAGTGAATAAAGCTCAAAATCCTTCTAATAGCTTTTATTTCCATACACACAAATGCATTGGGAACACTACACATTCTATTCCAAATCAAAACATGAAGAAAAATATATCAAATTTGTGTTGTTCCTCTAATAAAAATTGAAGAAAAGTAAATATTAGACTGTTCAAAAATATAGCAGTGTTTGTATTCTTCTTTACAAACTCAAACATTCACTATATAAACTGAAAAATGTTTGAAGATTTTGCTTTCCTTTGAATCACATAATTAATATTTAGTTGTATAAGCACTGTTTCTGAGAACTGCTGTACATCTGTGTTGCATGGAATCAACCAACTTCTGGCACCTGTGAACAGGTATTCCAGTCCAGGATGATTGGACTACATTCCACAGTTCTTCTCTATTTCTTGGTTTTGCCTCAGAAACTGCATTTTTGATGTCACCCCACAAGTTTTCTATTGGATTAAGATCCGGGGATTGGGCTGGCCACTCCATAACGTCAATCTTGTTGGTCTGGAACCAAGATGTTGCACGTTTACTGGTGTGTTTGGGGTCATTGTCTTGTTGGAACACCCATTTCAAGGGCATTTCCTCTTCAGCATAAGGTAGCATGACCTCTTCAAATATTCTGATGTATATGTAGTATGAGAAACATCCCCATATCATGATGCTTGCGCAACCATGCTTCACTGTCTTCACAGTGTACTGTGGCTTGAATTCAGTGTTTTTGGGGGTCGTCTGACAAACTGTCTCCGGCCACTAGACCCAAAAAGAACAATCTTTCAGTCCACAAAATGTTGCGCCATTTCTCTTTAGGCCAGTCAATGTGCTCCTTGGCAAATTGTAACCTCTTCAACACGTCTTTTTTTCAACAGTGGGACTTTGCGGGGGCTTCTTGCAGATAGCTTGGCTTCACATAGGCGTCTTCTAATTGTAACAGTACTCACAGGTAACTTTAGACCTTCTTTGATCTTCCTGGAGCTGATTGTTGGCTGAGTCCTTGCCATTTTGGCTATTCTTCTATCCATTCGAATGGTAGTTTTTGCTTTCATCCACATCTTTCAGATTTTGGTTGCCATTTTAAAGCATTGGCGATCATTTTAGCTGAGCAGCCTATCATTTGCTGCACTTCTTTATATGTTTTCCCCTCTCCAATCAACTTTTTAATCAAGGTACGCTGTTCTTCTGAACAATGTCTGGAACGACCCATTATCCTCAGAATTTCAGAGAAAAATGCACTGTAACCAGCATGTACAACATTTGCTGCCTTCCTTCCTTAAATAAGGGCAATAAGTACCACCTGTTTTTCAAAGAATTAATGATCTCACTAATAGAACTCAACACTGCTATTATTTTGAACATGCCCCTTTCAATTAGTGATTCAATTACACAGAATCAGCAGCATGCATGTCATGACTTTTGGGTCTGTTGGATTTCTATTACTCTTCTACACCTACTAGTAAATTATTTGCCATGTAGAAATATCATTTCTACCAAAAACAATGATTGATCCGGTTAGTGATGTCTGACTGCTATTATTTTGAACACAACTGTATATGCTTGGATAAGCTGAGCATACACATTTGTGTCTATGAGGAAAAATGTAGCAAAGGGAAGAAAACTCCACCTAAATTACCTGTAGAATAAACATTTTATTTTTTAGTTATTGTATCTCCCTAGAGAAAAAATTGGTCTGCAACTTCACTAGAGGGGAGGGTTCACTGATCGAGAAGCTCCAGTCTTAAGAAACAAATTTCTATCTTTGTCACCCGCATCGGGTGAAGATCAAATGTCAATGAAATACAAGATGAAAACAATGTCATGCCATCAGTCAATACTATTTCGGAAATAAGAGTTTGGGATGGGTTAGAAAACCTTGTCCATTCATTATTTTCCCATTTATAAGCTGACATTGCATGTGTTCTGCAGCTTGTGTTGTTGCATCTTCCCATACGTCACCGTCGTCTAGGGAAATCATTCTTTCTTTTAGGGTCCTATCCACAAACAGATGCCAGATACCTTCTACTGTCTATGTACTTTTTTATCATTGACAGATTTCTGATGCTAACCCTTTTGTATTTTTGGCTTTATGGCAGAGAAGAGATTAACAGACAATGTGTGCACCGTGTGTGCTATATCTGTAGCTTGGCTGTAAGGACTCTTTCAGAATAAATTAATATCAATGAAAGTTGCATGGGCTTACTATGGATTCATCCACTCTGTACGCTGTACTAAACAAGTCTGTAAATGTGTAGCTGCAAATTAGGAGTACAAACATGTTTTATTCACACAGCCTAAAGGTACAAAGTTAAAACATAAGTGCTCCATGTGGTATGAGTTGACAATATGTAACAAACCAAAGCTAAGAACCAGGATTTTAATTACTTGAAAAAAAAATCTCAACAGTTTATCCAATCTAACTACAAAGAAATACTCAAGACATCCAAATCCCTCCAATCTCTACCTGAGGATCACATAGGACAGGTTTTGTTGAAAATTGGTGTGGATATCAGAGCTGTGTTAACTTGCCACCCCAGACTTTGAATAGTGCAATTACTGACTTGAATAATGCTTTGCTTCATTTCTTCTTTGAGTATTCCTACCCAGCCTAATCATTACAATTTTAAGAGCTCCAGTGGTTAGGTTTCAATTCTCTTGTTCACTGGCATGTACATCTTCCAAAGACTTTATAAGGACTTTATAAGGATTTTCTACTCTGCTAGGTTTTAAGTCAACTTTTTTTTTTGCAGAATAGACAAGAAGTGGAAGCACCCATAGCTTCAAATTCGGATGGGGGCCAGGAATTCCCAAGGAATAAAAAAATGGCAGCATTTGGCTCAATCCACCAGGCACTGCCTATGACTTATACATAATTTCATGATGAAATCAATAAGATACAAATATAGTGTAGTCAGGCGCTTAACATTACAATCAATGCAGTGTGTAAAACATGTTGAGCAGCACAGAGGCTAAGTGGTTAGCACTTCTGCCTGGCAGCACTACTGTTGTCGGTTCAAATCCCAACCACAGTACTACCTACCTAGAGTTAGCATATTCTCCCTGTGCCTGTGTGGGTTTCCCCCTACGCCCCAAAGACATACTGGTAGGTTAATTGGCTCCTGTCTAAATTGGCCTTAGTATGTGTATATATGGATATGAGTTGGGGACCTTAGATTGTAAGCTCCTTGAGAGCAGGGACTGATGTGAATGCACAATATATGTAAAGTACTGTGTAAGTTGATAACGCTATATTTGTACCAATAATAATAAGTTTAAATCTTGCTAAAACTGCTGCAATTATCAACTATTAGAAAGATGGCTATGTAATAAAATATTCACATCCATAGTTAGCCAGCAATGAGCATTACAAAGCAAACAAAGATATTTTCACAATAAATCAAAACTAACTAAATTGAGATATTGGAATTTCAAGCAGCAATAATGTTTACATTCATTAACCGCTTGCCGACCGCCCAGAAATACAGCTACAGGGCAGCAGCGGTGTGCAAAATCAAGTATATATACACGTGATTTTGCATTTCTAGGTAGGGGGCGCGAGCAAGCCATGCGTGTGCCCTACCTGTGCCACCATTCACTGCTGCAGCTGTCAATCACCGGGCCCCTGCTGGTAATTACTCACTGACGCCCAGTGATTTCCGAGGATCTCCTACAGGGAGGAGGACTGTTTTGTTTACTAACAGTCCTCCTCCCTGTCAGCTCGGGCACACTGCTGTGGATGGCTGTACACAGCACAGCCATCCACAGCAGTGTGATTACAGTGAATCACACACATCCTGCCTCCTAGCAAAACACTCCAAAACACACAGTCAAACCTTTGATCGGCCCTCATATTATCCCCTTCCTGTCCAGTGCCATTAGTACAATGTCAATGCTTTTTTTAGCACTGATCACTGTATTGGTGTCACTGGGGATGTCAGTGACACCAAGTCAGTTCCCCCCCAGTGTCAGAATGTCCAACGCAGTCCCGCCATAAGTCGCTGATCAACACCAGTACTAGTAAAAATGAAAAAAAAAAATCCCAGTATATATACCGCCATTTATAAATGCTATAACTTTCATGCAAACCAATTAATTGACACGTATTGGGATTTTGTTTCAGCAAAGACATGTAGCAGAATAAATTTTGGCCTTTATTTTTTTACTGGACATGTTTAATAGCAAAAAGTAAAAAATATTATTTTTTTTCTCAAAATTGTCTGACTTTATTTTTATAGCGCAAAAAAAATAAAAAACACACAGGCGATCAAATGCCACCGAAAGAAAACTCAATTCATGGGAAAAAAGGATGTAAATTTAATTTGGGTGCAGTGTTGCAAGACCGCGCAATTGTCAGTTAAAGTAACGCAGCGCCGTAATGCAAATAATGGCCTGGTCAGGAAGGGGGTTAAATCCTCAGGAGGGCAAGTGGTTAAATAATACATTTTTAACATACATAGGAAAATATAGCCTTCTATAAGCCATATTTAAAAAAAACAATTCTTGTTATGAATGTAAATAGATATATAATATAAAGGAAAACCCATAACATCCGCTCACTTAAGAACTTGAAACTGACCTCAGTATTTACTTAAAATAATAATAAAAACAACTGCAATCTAAAAAACCCATGTATTTCAAATACCTAGAAGGAAAAAAGGTAAACTTTAAGCAAATGGCAAACCAATTTAAGGTCTGAATTAAATGGAAATTTACTTACAATGTACTGTTACCATTGTTGAAGCAATCATGATTTTATTTAACAAAGAACATTTATAATCTCCAGTTGCATTTCTTTTTATGTCAGTTATATGGTAGGCACTTGAACTACGGATCCCCTCTTCCTGACCCTAGGAAAAAAACATAAAAATCATAACATGAAACCTAATTAAACCGGTAATACGTAAATTAGATCAAGAAAATAATTAGTCTAAAGGGAAAAAAATATTTTAATGTAGATCTAAGCTTAAAACGTGAAGATTTAGGTTTTAGGGAACATCTAGAAATGTTAACTGTGACTAAAGCTGGCCATAAATGGTTTAAATCTCAGCCGGTCCCTGCTGAACTAGCCGAGATTTGAACCATCTATGGGCAGGCTGATTGTACCCAATTTGGGTACAACCAGCCTGTCGGATTTTTCATGAGACTACTGCCAGTGGCTATAGCAGCTAGCAAAAATCACTGTGTTCTCCTGGGAGGGACGGCTTCCCCCTTCCCGCCAGGAGAACACAATAGCTCGGCAGTGGGGATTCCCCCATCAACACAGTCAGTCAAACGGTTTCATTTCCCCGCAGGGACGGTTCCCTGTACCCCCCACTCCTCCCACCAGGAATACACAATAGCTCAGCAGGAGGGATTCCCAAATTAACACAGTCATTTGAGCAGCTTTATTTCCTGCAACTCGAGGTTGCAGAAAAAAATTACATTGTCTATGACTGGCCTGAGTAGTTTCCTGACAAACCCTCCTAAGAAAATGTCTGTGCCTTCAGCCCTATAGCTGTACAGTATAATAGCAGTGTTAGGCACTGCTGCCTCTCACTATTATTTTCTTGGGATTTGGTGAAATCATTACAGTGCTGCTCATTGTTCTTCTTGCTTGGGGAGAAAGTATGTCTGATGACCTGCAGGGCAAGGATTTCCTTGCTTCTATTTTATGCTTTCTGTGCACTTGTGGTTTTCTGTACCTTCTCTGCTGATTTTAGTCCTCCACCAGTCCTTGTTGGGAGTCACTCTGGCATAAGGGAGAAAAGCCCTGCCTCTATCAAGATGGCAACTTATTACACAGACAAAAAAAAAAGAACAAAGAATGGGTAGTTTAGTATGGCTAGATTCACGCTGCTTCTGCATTTTTATGCATTTTACATGTGTTTTTGATGCATTTTTAATGGATTCTAATTGAAGTTTATGGAGCCAAATGTGTATTTTCGTACCGAAAAAAATTACGCACTTTTTCCAAAACACATGGAAGAGAAACACGCAGGTGTAAACCAGCCCCATATAAAAGAAAGGTAATCCTCTTGTCTACTGACACAAGTAACATTGTACAGATGTGAAACAAGCACCAATTGAGAAAGGATCAGCTGCAGAGAAACCATAGGCAATACTGGTGAATTGTAATTTGTCTTTTGTTTGCCTTTTTTAGACAAACCTTCCATAATTTACATCCTCTTTAATTTCTTTTTATGCATGAAATGGACAAGCTTAGTGTAAACCTTATCATTGAATGTTAATGTGGAAAGCGGTATTAAACCCAGAACAAAAAATCCAATATAGTGCAGTTTGTCAATCATTAGATGTGGTGGCTGCATTATTTTTTCCCTTTTTTTAGGCTTTTCCCGTTTTCACCTGCAGATTTAAACACACTAACACACTGAAGTCAAACCCAAGCTAATACTTTATCCCAAAAGGAAAAAATGCTGCTGTACCTGCTTTTAAAGATTTTATATAAATAAAAGCTGATCATTGTAAGCACCCCTGTCAGTGGTAAATGGCTTGTCACATCCATGTAGCTGCATGAGAGCTTGTTCTTTTGAAAAAAAAAAAAACAGACTTACTAGCTGGATCACTAGATTAAACTACAAGAAAGCAAGCCTAAAACAGAAAATTAATGCAGCCATCACATCTAAGAATTGGTAAGCTGCAGTATAATAAATATTTCCTTTCAGGTTTACTACTTCAACTTCTTTTTAATGGAACAAACACCCCCAAATCTATTTTGGTACAGGAGAACAAAGATTGCTGAATGCTTACATAGTTAGTCTGACTGAAAAAAAAAAAGACATAAGTCCATCTAGCTCAACTATAAAGGAAAAAAAAAAATTATATCTTATACCCACAGTTGATCCAGAGGAAGGCAAAAAACCCAGCTAAGCATGATCCAATTTGCTCCTGCAGGGGAAAATATTCCTTCCTGATCCCCCAAAAGGCAATTAATGGTTAATGGTTGAACTGGACAGACTTTTGTCTTTTTTCAGCCAGACTAACTATTTAACTATGTAAATTTACCTATAAATGTTAGTATCCTGTTATATTGTGTGTACCTAGGAAAGAATCCTGGCCTTTTTTTAAGCAATCTACTGAGCTGGCCACAACCAACTCTTGAGGGAGCCTATTCAATGTTTTCATAGCTCTTGCTGTGAAGAAACCTTTCTGTATTTGGAGATTAAATCTATATTCCTCCAGACATAAAGAGTGCCCCCTTGTCCTCTGTGATGACCTCAGGGTGAATAACTCTACACCGAGTTCACTATATGAACCACTGATGTATTTATATATGTTTATCATATCCCCCCTTAATCTCCTCTTCTCAAGAGAGAATAAATTCAGTTCCTCTAATCTTTCCTCATAGCTGATCTCCTCCATGCCTCTTATCAGTTTGGTTGCCCTTCTCTGTACTTTCTCCAGTTCCCCAAGTTTCTTTTTGTGAATTGGTGACCAACACTGAACTGCATATTCCAGATGAGGTTTTACTAATGATTTGTACAGGGGTAAAATTATATCTCTCTCTTTGCAGTCCATACCTCTTTTAATACAAGAGAGGATTTTGCTCACTTTCGAAACTGCAGCTTGGCACTGAATGCCATTATTAAGCTTGTGATCTACCAGAACTCCCAGGTCCTTCTCCACTATTGACTCTCCCAGTTGTACTCCCCCTAGTATGTATGATGCATGCATATTCTTAGCCCCCAAGTGCATAACCTTACATTTATCAACATTAAACCTCATTTGCCACATAGTTGCCCAATTAAACAGTGCATTGAGGTCGGCTTGAAAGTTGGAGACATCCTGTAAGGACGTTATTCCACTGCACAGCTTGGTGTCATCTGCAAAGACTGAAATGTTACTTTTAATCCTAGATCCTATACAATTAATAAATATATATATATAAAAATGAAGGGCTCCAACACTGAACCTTGGGGTACACCACTGACAACCCTAGACTATTCAGAGTATGAATCATTAACCACTGCTCTCTGAGTACAGTCTTTTAGCCAGTTTTGTATTCATTTAAAAACTGATTTTCCCAAGCCTGTAGACTTTACCTTAGACATTAGCTGTATGTGGGGAACTGTGTCAAACTCTTTTGCAAAATCCAAGTATACCCACATCCACTGCCACCACTCTGTCTAAGGTTTTGCTCACCTCCTCATAAAAAGAAATCAGATTTGTTTGACAACTTCTGTCTTTCATGGAACCATGCTGTCTGTCTGTTCCTGCAAGAACTCATCTATGTGGTCTTTAAATAAACTCTCCGGTATCTTCCTGATTATAGAAGTTAAACTATCAGGTCTGTAGTTACTTGATAAAGACTCTGATCCCTTTAAAAATATTGGCACCACATTGGCTTTATGCCAATCCAGCGGTACTATGCCAGTCAATAAAGAGTTCCTAAAAATTAGAAACAATGGCTTTGAAATGATATCCTTGATGCTGGAACCATTAAGGCTTCTGTGTACAGTTAGTAATTACAATGGTACATAGGAACAACTATTACTTAGGTAGGCTTTGCTTTATGTTTAGTAGGGATCCACAGTAGTTGCACCTTGAAACAAATGCACCATTGCAAAATTTTTTTTTTTTTTTTTGTATTAACAATTTTTATTGGTTTTCATGTGAGTACAAACAGTATAGTTTTTAAAAAAGATAAGAAAAAAAAAAATAAAAAAAAAAAAAAAAAAAAAAAAAAAGCATATCAGAAAGGTACATCGATGGTAAAACTACATATGATCAGGACCAGTGGAATCATATAATAACAGTGCGAAAGTAATCAGGGTCTTACATTTTGGGCCGGATAGAGGAAATGAAGGTATCCCACGGGAGCCAAATCATCTCAAACACAGCAAACGAACAATTATGTAATGCAGTCAAATATTCCATCTGTCTTACATCAGCAATAAGTTTGTACAAAATCGGCAATGAAGGGGGAGTAGAAGATAACCAACACATAGGAATGCTTCTCCTGGCCGCGGTCAGAACATGTACAGCAAGTTTTCTAGCTGGTTTAGGTAGACCCGGGAATGGCAAGCCCAGCAAAAAATGCAGTGGGTCAAATGGGAGAGAGATATGCAACAACGATTGCAACAAGGAGCGGACCTCTTCCCAAAAAGGGGCAATGGAGCTGCATGTCCAAAAGATATGGTAGAGAGAACCAAGATCTCTACTACAGCGCCAGCAGGCAGGAGAAGCATTCGGATTATAAGCATGAAGAACTTCAGGTGTTTTGTACCATAACATCATGATCTTGTATATATTTTCCCTAAAAACCACACAGACAGAAGATCTAGATGCATTTTCCCAGATTTTCTTCCACGTTAATAAATCAATATCACGTTGTACAAATTGAGACCACCTACGCATGTAAAGGTGAGTGTCATTGGATAAAGGGGGGGCATCCATAAGGAGTTTATAAGTATTAGAGATAATACCCCTTTGGTGGGGACCCTGCATACATAAACGTTCGAAGGGAGTAGGCTTCCCCAGGATCAATGAGGGTGATAAGGTAGAAAAAAAATGGCGTATTTGAAGGTATATATATAGGTGATGAGGAGGTAGAGGAGCCTTTTTCTGAAGATCCGGGAATGAGTGTAACTTACGAGTCACCGGGTGTACCAAGTGACGCAATTGAAAAAGGTTAGCTACTACCCAAAGAGACATCCGGGACATGGCCATATTATCTGGAAGATTAGGGTTATAGAGGATATTTGTCAGTGGGGGAGCAATCAGAGGCCAGTGTAAATTTAGCCTTACATTTCTGCCAAACAGTCAGTGAAAAATGCATGGGACCAAGGAATAGGTGGCGGAAGGAAGAGACATCCACTGCTGAGGTCGACCAAAGGAGGGAACATGGATG